AGCATGTAGTGACTAACTTGGGTAGTAGTAAACTTCTACCCAAGTACATCGGCCCATTTCGTGTATTGCATCGCCTAGTCAACGCATACACGATCGAGTTACCACGTAAGATGCGAACGCATCCTATGTTTTACGTTGGTCGGCTTAAGCCGTACCATCAGTACGCTGTTTCTTCCGATAAAGAACGCCCTTGCGTTCAAGCATATCACAGAGGGCCTTGTGCTCCCGATGGTGGATATCAACAATGGTCTGAAGAGCAATTTTCTCAGCCCGAGACCGATCAACATTCCCACGAGCTACCCTTAGCTCGTCACGCAGAGATGTCAAAGCTCTTTAGTTCTCAAGCTGAGCAAAGGAAAACTCAGCTCGATGCTTCAAGACAGTGTCCGCCAGTTGGAGATGCCTGTCCCGCTCATGATCGAGATCGCCGCGTAACCCTTGCGTTACGCGATCAAAGAAGCTCTCGGGAACACACGGATCCCCATGATCGTGTGGAGAGCGTCTTCCCTCCTCCTCCACCTCCATTAGAGGACTCTCGCGGTGGCCAGCCCTATCTGATTGAGCGGCTACTGAAACACCGCGATGTGAACGGACGTCGAACGAGTTACCTCGTCCCGTGATACTTGGGAGCCTCGCTCCCAACTGATGATTGACGTACTGGGTCTGGTTGAGCAGTACGACGCGGCACATCCTGTGCCGCAGAAGGATCTCCGGAGAAAGTCTTCCCTTCACGGTCGTAAAGGGATTTCAGGTTGTCAATCCCTTCGTACATCTCACTAGAGATACTTACGCGCCACCACGGGCTAGTAAGGAGGTAAGCCTCCTTAGGTGCGCGCGCTGAGTTGTTTACACAACAAGGGCACGGGTCTCCCCAGGAAGGACAGGGTGACCCATCTTCCTTAGACAGACGATGCAGCTTATAGCGCGCACCTGTCGGGGTCCTCTTCTCAAGCTTATCACGAGCTTTGATAAGTTTGTCTTTCCAAACGATACGACCTACATCCTCAAGGTCATGGATGTAAGCGTTCTACGCTTGAAGCAGTGAGGGACCATCACGTTTGTGATTCTCACTGTGCCATCGATGCTTAAAGAAAGCATCGATGAAGAACTCATGATCAGTGCGATAGTCTTTGCACAGGGGTCAAGATGATCTATCCTTGATGAATCGAACATTCGTGCTCGATAGCCATCACTTGTCGTCGCCGACAAGTGATCCATGACTGACTTTGGAGGCAGCCATGCTTCTTTTCGGGAGCGAGACGCAACACGTTGCAGTCCCGCTCTTCATGCGACGTGCCGACAGAAGTACTGGTACCTCGTTGCGAAGTGGTGTCAATAGGAGACCCGACACCACTGTGAGCGCCCGAGTCTTGCGGTCTCGAGCGCCTTCGCTTTGGCGGTGGTTTATCTGATTGTCAGATGAACCAAAGATGCTACGACGCGTAGCATCATCCATACCACGATTGGCAGGCGGCTTGGTTTCAACCGCCTTCGATACGGATCCCTCTTCCGTATCGGGAGAGTATGAGACACCGAGCTCATACTCTGTGAAGACATGAGTGTCTTCATGACCAGCGCCTGCATCACCAAGTGACACAGGCTGAGTCGCTTCAGCAACCGATGAGACATCAGTTGCTGTGGTTTCTGCTTCGGCGTCTGCACAGAGACGTGCGGACGCGCTCTCGGCGGCCTTGCTCGCGCACCACATGGACTTTTTAACCATGCGATGAAACTGATGGACTGTGGACTCGGACCAACAAGTGCACACCCCGTCCCAAATGATTTGGGACGAGTATCCAGTTAGTCAATCAGTCACTAACGTGACTGATGGTTAAGGGGGGGTGATGTAATGGGGTGAACCGTTACATAACAAATCACAAGAAATTGTTAATAGAATATAACTGTAAGAGTAATGTTCTCAGAATATTTTCATGTGGACAAATATTCTGTAGCACTTACGAGTAGTTCCTAAGTGGTTGATATAGACCATTATTTCAACCAACGAAGACGCGCCACGACAGACGCACGCAATGAGTGGTGAGCATATAGTTGATATGCACATTTGTATTCAGACATAGTTAGATGAAGATTAATAGTGATTTATTGCAGACATTAACTACGATAAATACAGTTCTACTTTTTACTTTAACCAAGTACTCGCTTCTTCTTACCGTCTTCCTCTGCACGTACGAGTGTACGTGAAGTTACGAGGCACCGCCTCATTTTGTCGTCAGAATAAGTAGCTTGTACTGTCATCAGTACAAGCTTCAGGGTGCCCCGTTACAACCAGGCAATGATCGCGCGAAACAAAGTATCGCTCTCCAGGCCTTAGGAGAATTAGCACAAACAATGCGAAGAATATCACCGATGATGCGATTAAAATCAGGGAGCATTGAGCTTCAAGCCTTGGGCAAATCAGCACAAAAACTGTGAAGAACATTACTGACGACGCGATTAACTTAATGAGCTTTAACTTTGGTCTGCGATTAATACGCGTTGTAAATGTTCAATTTGTGCTAAGCACTTCGAATAGGGAAGTCCAAAACTTGCCAATGTATCGAGGATCTTCCTCATGAAATTATTTGCCACCACAAAGTCAGCTGACAAAATTATGTCAATAAACCACATACTTGTACGTTTTCCATCAATGGAGTCCAACACAGCCATTTAGTAATCTTTCTTGCTCAAACGGCCAATAAAGACCGCAATACCGGTTTTTTCCTCACTGTCTTTGGTAATAACTACCACTAAATCAACCTGATGGACTCAGAATCCGGTGAATACAGGTGAACAAACAAGAGGTACTGCCGAGTGTGCCAATGATTTAGCCCGTTGACACCGTGGTGAAGTAGTCAAAGAAAATCCTGACTAATCGCCTTGATCACCTCGTAAGTGCAATCGGCCATGCTGGTCTTGGTACTTACCGCTCCAGAAAAAATCCCCGACGATAAGCTGGACGGTTTGCAAGTCATCAACGGCGGTCCCAGATTATTATTATCAGTTAGGGTCACGACGATTGACTGACCGGTCATGGTCACTATGGGCGACCAGTGGTCAAAGTCATGATGGGCGACCAGTGGTCAAAGTCATGATAGGTGACCAGTGGTCATGGTCAGGATGGGTGACCAGTGGTCATGGTCAGGATGGGTGACCAGTGGTCATGGTCAGGATGGGTGACCAGTGGTCACGGTCACGATGAGTGACCAGTGGTCATGGTCACGATGGGTGACCAGTCGTCATGGTCACTGCAGGATGACCAGCGGTCATGTTGGCAGTTTAGAGGGTTTACTTCAAGCTCAGGGAATGGGTGGTGGCAGGCGAACAACTTAGCAGGAAACTGAGATAAAGAGAAGTGCAAACGTAGTTCTAGCCCCTAATAGGTTAATAACGACTAGTATTGATTTTCCTACAAAATGCACGCGTCAGCATTCCTCCGGGCTGGACTACTAGTGGCCACCCGACGTACAAGGTTTACTGTCGACGTGTTTGCTCAAGGTTTGTCCATAGATTGCTTGGCTAGGCAAAAGTATACTCATTCAAGTTATCCCGCGATCGGATGCGGCAAGCGTACAAAGCAAGGTCTTCAGACGGATCAAGTGATCAGAAGGACAAGGTGATCAAGTGGTCAGAAGAACAAGGGGGGTCGAGTATCCACATTTTGGCAAGGCGACCTCAAAGGAAGGTCAGGCGACTCTAGGAGAGTGCCACCAGTAACCGTTGGTCGTGTGAATAATTACCACGCGACCACACCCCACCTATCCTCAACTCGGTCAAGACAAGACATTGACCTCAAGACACCTAGAAGAGTGCAACCGAACGCCGACTGGTACACTAGGTGAGAAAGAGCAAGACACGTACAAGACACACAATCCGGAGTACCCCCTCCGTTAGTCGGTCGTCTGGGAGCAAGGTGGGAGTCAGGGTAGCTACATAAATGACCGAATCTCACTTCACCACAATGGTGCGCGTGCACGGATCTTCTAGAGCCTCGGGATTTTACTCAGAATCTCAGAGCGAAGATGTCAAGGTCAATATTGAACCGGGAATGGAAGTGTCGGCGAAGAAGGGATCGTCGCAGACACGTGATTATAAAGAACCCTCCTTTCGGCATAGTTTTGAAAGGGGATCGAACGAATCGAAATTAAAGAGGAAGATCGCCAGAATAATCTTGAAGAGGAAGAACTTCTGAACCCTCCTGAGGTCCCTTCGGGGACCACCGCGAATCGTACTGCAAAGTACGACCTGCCAGATGAAACACGTCCAGCCAAAGAAGGACACGTTTCGTCTAAAAACAAAACCATACACAAAAACAAGAAAAAACAACGAAGGCTACGGCTCCCAAGCTACGCCCGCCTGACTGCAAGGGTGATGATCAAGAAATAAGTTGGGCAGCAGAAGTCAAAATGGAAAGTTGGAAGATCGATCAGCTGCAACTTCGCTAGCATTGGACCCAGCTTCTAGCGTTGCTATCAGCGACCCCAGTGCTGACCATCCTGGAACCAGAGCTGATCGGGCCGCTTCGGAGACCGACATCGACTTCACATTGCAGCCGCTAGCAAAATGAAGCAGTGCAATGTCACATTCAACTACTACAAGTCGCAGGATTTGTGCCTGATGTGTTTGACGCGCAGGTTCTGCTTGACTGCGACCTGGATCAAGTGATCACGGCCAGCCGATCACTGTTCAAAAAGCTGGTCCCACTGACCGGCAACTATGACTCCGCTGACCGCAAACTCAAGACCAGTATCACGATCAAATAGGAAGACTGTTCATTAGCGGCGTCGTCACATTACGCTTCGGCGGGGTCGATTGCGGACGATAGCGGTGACTTGGAAATAAAGCGAATGTCGTTAGGACCTTTCGGAGCAGCACTTTTACGTGACCATCACGAGCATCCGACTCCAACCACCGGACCGTTGAGACTAACCGCAGAGCCAGTCGATGCTACAAATGACCCCGATCAGATGCAAATCTAATTTGCAAAGGACATAGAAAAGTTCATGCGAGACCAACAGCAACGGCCGCCACATTCTGAGGCGACCGGTCGCCCCAAACCCAACCACAAGGTGTTCGGGATAGGTATGCCAGACACGGACATGGAATCGGCTGATTTGCATGGTATTCACGGTAATACCTTTGACACTGACGACCTTGACACTGACGGCGTCCGTCAACCTCACTTGGCTTCTACGAAAGCCGTTATGGGAGAAGTATTTGCTGCGCAGCGGATTCGCATGTCTGCGATCGCCGATCTAAAGGAGTTATCATGCCGCGATCACGATGATGACCGAGCTCAAAGCTGAATGCGAAAGGTCAATCAGCTTTCTTGCGTGACCAAGCCCTCGATTTGAAGGATTGTTTGGTTAATGGACATTTGCCAACAGGCCCAGCACGAAACTGGTTCTCGCAGCTAAGCCGATAGACACGCAATAAGTGAAAAGACTTTCTAGAGTGTTTTCTACTACAATTATGTGGACGCGGCATCTCTACTGGTCGCCAGTGTTACCACGCCTGCAAGCGTGCCGATGAAACTCCGCTAGAATACCTCTATCGGTTGAACGTTGCTGGGATGCGAGCGAAAATCCACGTGAAGGACGGGAACGTTGCTGATCGCCGAGAACACGTGGAACACTACATCGAGACACTGGATGACCACGATCTCGCAAAGCAATTGACCTTGCTGCGTTTGGACGACGTGTTAACGCTGGAGTTAACGCTGCACACTCATGAACGTATGCAAAAGCGCAAATGCAATCTCCTGATCAGATCAGGCAAGTTCCGCTCACGATCAGCGTCGCCATACTCTCTGAGTCCATCCAAACCGGCTCGAGCTGGGCGTCCAAACCACGTGGGGGGCGAGAGCAGTTCGTCGGAATCAGATATTTGCAGTGCGGAATCCGACGAAGAAAATCAGAGTGTTTACAGCGCCACAACAGCCGACTATACGAAGGACCGGGGAAATGATCGTCCGCCAAAGCCAAGATCGAACGACCGTGAACGCGATCACGAGCGTGCAGAAGGGCACAAGTCGTGCACTCATTGTGGGTTCAAAAGACATGGTGGCAGGGGATGCTGGAAACGCCTGACTTGTCAGAAATGCGAGCGCCGAGGTCACCTCTCCGACAAGTGTTTTTACGAATGCTCAGCGTGTGGAGAAGTGCACGACGGGGGCAACTGCCCGATGGAAAAGTTTTACAATATGCTTTTGCAAGAGGTACGTGTCGATCAAACAGCCGGAATGCTTCCTCCCGACGCTGAGAAGATGTTACACTAAGACGCTCGCCAGCTTGGAACCTGTTACGAGCCGAGCGTCCTGGACTATGCATATATGCATTTATGGACAAAGAAGGGGTCGATAACAGTGTTAATCGCATGACCGGCCGGACGTTCAGTACATGTGATTTGGACTCTGGTTCTTTTCCATCAATTGCAAGTTTGCGGCGACCGGATGAATACGCATGATCACCAACAAACATGGAACTACAGTTGTCTCCTGGCGAATCACGTGGTTACTGGAATTACCACACTCCAAACAAGTGGTTCAGGCAAGCCGAGGCGGGATGAAGATCAAAAATGAAAAGGCGACCCTATTGTTTGACTCGGAAGCTGAATTCTCAATCATCGACACCACCTTTTCTCGTAAGGTTGGCTGTGTCATCGACGAGAGTCAAAAGCAAGAATGCTTGGGTATCAGAGAAATTTCGCACTTGGCAGAAGGCCGCACAAAGGTGACGATCACTCTGAATGGCTCATTGGTTTACTACTTTGATGTATAGGTGGGTGACTAAGTGGGACAAGAAGCAATTCTTGGGATGGATTTCATGTTACCGGCTGGAATATGCCTTAACCTAAAAGAAGGAACAGTGTGCTTGCCGGACGAAGTCATAATTTGACTGGAAGGTAGGAGATCACCGTATGGGGCGAAGATACAACGAATTGCTGCGAATGAGAGGTATTTGGCGATACCGGTGGGTTACTCAGTGGAGGTCAATGTAGGGCGGGGACCACTTTAGTCGAAATTGTGATTAACGCGCCACGCACGTTGGGCACCCACGGCTATGACCGGACCCGGAAGACACACGTACCTCCTCCTAACCAACCTAACCGATCAAGAGATGATTATCCAGCAGAGGACGCCGTTAGGGAAATGGATGCCGGCGGAAATGATACCACGGTCACCCGGGTATGTGTCGGTAGGGTCACGTCGTTATCAGGAGTGGCAAACACTTGCCTTCGAAGCTTCAACAGATAGAGACGAAGCAGAAGAAGTTCCGGAAGCTAAGGACCGTTGGTCGAACGCCAGTATTTCCCAACACCAACGCAGATTCTAAAACGACCCCCACCGGGTATGGTAGAGATGACCGCGAAGATAGAGGAAGCGGAATGGGAAAACAATGTGCTGACATGTGACCAGGTAAATGACCAGGAGGATCAAGAATGACCACAACCAGAATGATCACCAGTATCTGTTAACGCGATCACCACACGTGACACGGGTTGTGATTTGGTACATGATCGGCAGGAACAAACGAATGAACCCCAGAGAGAAATGTCTACGCGATCACCAACGTCCGCCGACTTATTCAACCCTATTGAGGCGATGAATGATACGACGTTGGTGCACAAGATGTCCGAAATGCACCCACACGAGTGTGAAGAGAAGCTCACTCCCGAATCGATCACGGATATGGTACCTGATAGTATGCAAAACAAGTCCTCTGATTCCCCAGATGGAATTACTATTGGGGATGGGGAGGTGCATCGACCGCCCGACCATCTGGAAGATCAAGAAGCAGTGGTCACCGGCGAAGGAGAACAGGAGTGCACGTTATACCAACACGCAGGTGGAACAATATTTGCGAAAGATGTTGGCCAACACATGGTAGTCTTATTGGAGGTGGACACGACGCTATGCGAGGTGAAGATTAAGGATATACAGGTGGGCGAACCATGGGTTCCATTGACTGAAGAGCAAGAAGAATTACGCCAGCCGATCTGGAAGAAAAGACATCTTTTAATGGGGAATGGAAACGCCCTTTCACCTGCGGAACGAGGCGTGATGTGTGACACAGATGTGAGAGGGGCAACCTTAGTAGCACAACAAGTGAGGCCTGTCGCTTCAAAGTTCCGTGAAAAGTTGGCGGACCTGATCAGAAAATTATTATCGGCAAAAATTAAAAGTTTCTCAACCTCGCCGTGGGCATCGCCGATCGTAGTGATCGTAAAAAAGAATGGGGTAGATACACGACTATGCACAGATTACCGACGAGTCAACCGATTGACGAGGCTGATGGTATATGCCCTTTATTAACGACCTACTGCAGGACCTGGACAAAGCGCTATGGTGCTGTTCATTGGATACGGCCAACGGATTCTGGTTGGTGATAAAGAGGGAGAGAGCACGAATGATTTCTGCTTTTACTACGCCTTCAGGTCTGTATGAATGGCTACGTATGCCGTTTGATTTGAAAAACGCGCCGCAGATGTACCGGCGTATGGTGAATAATGCATTGTACGGGTATCTCACTATCGGCGAACAGCGGAGATCAAGTGGTCGCGAGGTGTCACAACCGGTCGACGTGTTCACGCACGGCGACACGGACCCGCACCGAAAGCCTTCAATGTCGGGGCGGAGGTCCTATATTGATGACATTATGATCCCGGCGTCGTTCCGGACGTCCCTCTGTTAGTAGTTAAACAGACTGTTGGAAGTCTGTGATCAGTGATATTTGTCGATCCGTTTACTCAAGATTGTGTGGGGACGACGCAAGGTCGAGAATCTCGGGTACCACGTGTCGATATCAGGAATAGAAGCCGACCCGAAGGATTTAAGGTTGTTGTTCAATATTCCATTTCATCAAACATTGCGGTCAATGCAGTCCTTTTTGGGAAGCTTGAATTACTACAGCCGGTTCATTGAAGATTTGGCCATATACGCCTCAGTTCTGTACGAATTGAGAGAGGCGGACTTCCACGAAATTAGGCGGTTGGACAACTCGGAGGATGATCATGCAACAAATTAAGACCAGGATGGTGATACCTAGATAGACGATGACCACGGCCAGAGTCTGGTGGGTAGCTGTGATAATCAAATGACAAAGATGGATGGTCATGACCAACCGAATACATAAGGGTCTCATGACGAACATACAAGTGGTCATCGCTTAGAAAACGGTATGATCGCGTTCACAATGCTGAAAGCAAAAGTTTCCCGGACCCCGATGCTGAGACATTTTGACCCTGATCGTTGGCCAGTGATAGTGGTTTATGCAATCAAATGGGCGGTATCCGCAGCTTTGTTGCAAGAACACGACGGAGTGAATTGGCCTGTTATGTTCACAAGTCGCACACTAAAACCGAATGAAATCAACTACTGTGTGGTGAAGAAAGAAGTCCTGTCCCTGCTCCGGACATTTAACGTTTGTTATACACTACTAGTATTGCGGGACCTTAAGGTGCTCACACGGTATTCAACTCTAACGTAGTTGATGCAATCATCGGACCTTTAAGGGACACTTGGAAGATGTGCAGCTTAACTGTCAACTTGGACTCTGGAGATTAACCGATGCAACAAGGCGGAGGACGAAATTCTTGGCACTCTCGTCGCAAGTATCACACCACGGCAGGATGTAGATAAAATGCTGATCGCGATCGCGCCCCGGAAGCAACCTAGACAGATTATCAGCATGCCACCCCCTACGGTCAGTCGCAAAAAATTGTTTCTTGTCGTCAGCTTTGATGGAGCAGTCCGTATCAATAATAAAGGGGGCGCCTACAGTGCAATAATATGGAAGGTTCCCGAGTGGACTATAGTATCGGCTGCGTCGCGACTCGACACTGGTGTTGACCGTGAACGAGTCAGAGTACAATGGGTTGCTGCTGAGTTGCGAGTTGTTGGACAAGCAGACAACGGGACGAGTGGTCATTTGTAGGCATTTCAACCTGGTCATCAGGCAGATGAGGGGTGAAATTGAGTGCAAGGAACGGGACTGCAGTTACTACGTCTCAAGGCCCTAAATTAACTGCGATCATGTCGACATATGAATTCTTACATGTTAAGCGCGATTGATATTAAAGTGCCGATAGACTGGCTAGCTCTGCTTTACAGCAGGAAAAAGGCATGGTCAGACTAACGGAGCAGGATTGCCATGATTTACAAGCGATGAACCGATTGGACGGGATGTTAGTACCAGCGACCAGCAATCAAGTGGCCAAGATGACGGCGATCGCACGATCAGCCGTGCGGAGGCGCGAAGTGCCCACGATAATGCAAGAGGAAATAATACAGCAGATGCGACTGGAGCGCATAAAGCAAGCACAAGATGAATAAAGTTGGATCTCCAACCTCAAACTTTACCTAGTCCGGGGTTCTACCGAATTGGATACTATGGAAGCAAAAGCAGTGCGGTTGTTCTTCCAGATTACGAGGTGGATGAAGTTTGATAGTTTAATTTTTGCCACGAGCGGCAGCAAACCCAGTGACCGCGCGGAGCTCGTCCGTTTGGTTGTTCCGGAATTACTGCAAGATGGTGTCCTACACGACGACCATGCAAGTCTGGAAGGTGGTCACCAAGGGGTAGGCCGAACGTATCACCGCGTGCGATCGCACTTTCATCGGAGAGGCTTGTTTAGAAGCGTGCAGCAGTGTGTGGGGAAGTGTGTCTACTGCGAAACCGGGAAAGGATGTCCGATCCTACGAGGCGAATTTCCGGGGAATTTACAGGCCACGTACCCGTTCCAGATCATTGCAATGGATCATATCCCCTCGTTACCCAGGTCAATCAAAGGGAAAACCGAACTGTTGCTTTGGGTGGATTTGTTTCTGGCTACGTGATCGCTAAAGCTAGCTCATCAAGAACGGCCCAGACTATCGCGGAAGGGTAGAAGAATGTGTCTTCCGGCGGTTTGGGGCAAGAAAATCTATTCGTCACGACCGCGAACCCGGATTCCTGTCGGATTTTGCTCGCGCTTTCGAACGCATCGCTTATCAGAAACAACGTGCCACCGCGGAGTATCGGTCTTAAGACAATGGTGCAGCTGAACGTATGGTCCAAACATTGACCAGGGCGCTCAAAATGTATTTCGCGGATGTAAACTAACAAGATTGGGACAAATACGCTGAACGCCTAGCCTTCTCCATCGATATGGCCCATGACCGAGTACGGGGTGATTTGCCGTTCTATCTTATCCATGTTTGGGATCCGAGATCAACGCTGGAAGCTGGAAGCGACCCTGCCGTTGAGATGTACTAAAGTACGTGATCGGGATCCCCGGAGATGGCGCTATCACATACAGCGGCAACATCAACGAGCCCGCGCTACGGTGGATGATCGACTAAAGGACGTCATTTAAGACCGAGCTGACCAACACAACTTTGATCAAGGGTTAAATGGAATCAGCCGCGGTAGCCAAGTGTGGCTATATCTGGATCGAGCGAAGGAGGGGTATGCCAGGAAGCTGGCTCACATGTGGCACGGCCCGTTTCGGGTGATCAAGAAGTGAGGGGAACATGCAGTGCGGTTGGAGGTACAAGGGACACCATACCGATTATTCCTGCTCCTTCACGTATCTAAGCTGAAACTAGTACGAATTTTCCCTGATCCGCCTGCTGCGCGGATGGAGGTGGAAGAAACAGAGCGTGTTGATTTTGACAAAGCTCTGCTTCCAGAGGACAGCTGAAAAACGATCTAGCCGAAGGAGAATATGAGGTGGATAGTATCCGAGATGTGAGAACAGGACGAAGAAATCGGTACGGAAGGATACACTGACAGCTCCTGGTCCGATGGAAGTGTCATAAGGGCGAAACTTGGGTAGATGAGGCAAACGTCGATTGTAGTGCTTTATTGCAAGAGTTTGAACGTGATAGAGCTAGGAAAAATTGTTTCAAAGTAATGCAAGCACACGAGGAAGAATCCAGATGTTAGAGTGACCAGGGATGGTAACCGCGGCCTTGAAGCATGGAGACTGTATGGTCTGTGAGAGAATGAGGGACGTCCACGTGAACCATGAATGTGATGGAGTGATGTGGTCAACTAACATGGTGATCATACAGTTAGGATGACCAAGAGCGGTGACCGCCGCCACGAAACACTGTGACCGCCTGGTATGCAAAAGGAGGTGTAATGACAACATAAGCTATGGATGTAAAGGAGTTGCTTGGTCAACCAAAGCGGTGTACACAGAAGCAAGAAAACATGGTGAACAGACTACAATAGAAGTGAATTTAATAAGCAGCGACTGGTTGTCATGACTGTGACCATAAATGTCATGGTCTCTCATGCTGGAGACGACCTTTCACTGCGCTACAAACTTGATCCGGAGACGGTCGATGGACGAGTCTGGGTGTTCAGCAATAGCTGCTCGATATTGATTGCGCCAGGGGTCAGCGGAATCCGCAAGGAGTAAGGCTAAGGCCAGATTCGGGATTTTGGTCTGTCGACAGCCAAACCCTGGATACCATCAACATTTCTCTGACAGTCCTGGAAAGTGCGGGAAGAAGGGGTCCAACAGGATGTCGAGGTCACACTGACCCCGACCAGTTCCTCCAACACGTTTCGGAGTACTGCCTTCCATCGGGGGCGGGACCTGGAATGCCGACGACGTCCTTTTTCACAGAAGACGCTTAATCCAGGGTCTTTCGCGCGACTTGGGCCCACGATGATCGGGAGCACATGAGTAAACTACCGAAACGCCGGGCGATGTTGGTCTTCGAACTTACGATACGCGGTCGTCAAAGCTTTGAACCAGCCAGTCGGGCGGAATGACACATGCGCAATAGGCCAATCCAAGACGTCCCAAGGATTTTGACTGTATTAAGCAGCGATCTGGGCGGAGGTCACCAGCCGCGGGGACCACTGAGCTTCAGTTGGTGGACGCAGGGAACCGTCCGGAATGGGGAAAAGGTAGTGCTTGGGCCGAGAGTAGTGGTGGAACTAGAGATCCCAGTCCAGGTGACCTACAGTGACTAAACTTAAGCGATGGGATGACCACGGCGAAAACTGGCCAGGGGAATAAGTTGCACGAGTGCGGTACCCAGGTATCCACTTATCGCGCGAGGACCGCACGGGGGGTTAATCCTTGAGGCGGTCGGGGATAAGAGCTTGTTCACTGGAGCACGATCGTAGCTTGGTACCCTCACCGACCCATTGGACTCGTCCGACGCCCTGGGTGGCTCTGCGGTCGAAGGTAACGCAATAATGGGCGGCGACCGGGAGACGGCTGATAAAGCCTTAGTATCACGTCTTGAAGGAGCCGGACAAGTCGCGGGTGAATGACTCACTGGATCGATCTCGATCGGCGTGTCAGCCAACCCATCAGCAGATCTTGTGGTCGAGGCAGAAGACCGCCGTCTTACGGAAGAACGTTACCGTGACAGTGCGATGAGCATGGCCTCGTCAGCAGATTCTACGGAGCCGTCGCTATCCTGCGCATGAGATGCGGAGGGGAAACGCGCTCGTGTTTGCGTCTGTGACCGCCGAGTCATAACAGACGGTGGCGTGGTCACGTCTTGGGCTTGGACGAATTTTGGTCGTACAAACTGGAATCCTGGGGACGTCGAGGAGAGGGCGAGACGCCTGCCGGGACTTGGGTGAGTGGATGCCGATCGTAAAAGGGTAGATGGGCCAGCGGGCCCTGCGACCGTAGAGGAAGGGCTGGCAGACGAATCTGGTCCGACCGCAACGCGAGGATGACGGAAGGAATTTGAAGCGGATCGCTGATGGGTCACATGGTCTATGGGCGAGACCACGGCAGATGGGGACCTAGAAGCCTAACTTGAGGTGACTGTAACGCGCGCAAGCTTTTAAAGTGGTGACACAGGATCGGCCGCTGACTTCTCTCTCCGCCACTTATCATAGGCGAGCCCCACCGACCACGGAAGCCCCATAACGAAGTTGACCAGATAGTTGAGCTGGGCCTGGCGGTCGCGAGTAAGCATATCCCGTTCTACTCTCAACAGTGCCAGTTCCTCGATATGAGCAGCATGGGAGGAGCGCAAGCGGTGAACCTCTTAATGGCTTAAAGCGCGCTCCGTTTTCAATTGGTCAAGCTCCCGACCACGTTGTGCAAAGCTGCGAGCAAGCGCATCAAAACCTATTCGCGATGGAGCAACACGCTGCTCACTTTCCGCTACCGCTCGCCGTAAGTATTCACACTCCTTAGCTAACTGGCCAATCTCGGTCGTGTCCACGTCATCCACTGGGTCACTTACCACGTCAGCATCGGCAGGATCAGCATCGGCAGAAGAGGCATCGTCCGCCGGGGCATCATCAGATCCGACCGAAAAGCCAGCAGGTTCGGCGAGGTAGTCAGCCGGAGAGGTTCGGCTTGGTCAGGCTCGGTTGCGTCTGGTTCAATACTAGTGTAATCGTTGTCATCAGGAGCAGGGGTGGCCAACCGCAGCGGAGTCAGCTGAGGAGACGTCGAACCTGAAGACAGGGGTTGTTCAACGGACTGGTGAGATGGCGGCGACATCTCCAGCAATGATCAGGGGAGGGCAGATCAAAAAGTGCTCAGCCAGATCGGCACCGGCTGCCGACACACAGAGCAGGGGACGACTGTGGTGAAGTGGTCAAAGAAAATCCTGACTAATCGCCTTGATCACCTCGTAAGTGCAATCGATCATGCCGGTCTTGGGACTTACCGCTCCAGAAAAAATCCCCGACGATAAGCTGGACGGTTTGCAAGTCATCAACGGCGGTCCCAGATTATTATTATCAGTTAGGGTCACGACGATTGACTGACCGGTCATGGTCACTATGGGCGACCAGTGGTCAAAGTCATGATGGGCGACCAGTGGTCAAAGTCATGATAGGTGACCAGTGGTCATGGTCAGGATGGGTGACCAGTGGTCATGGTCAGGATGGGTGACCAGTGGTCATGGTCAGGATGGGTGACCAGTGGTCACGGTCACGATGAGTGACCAGTGGTCATGGTCACGATGGGTGACCAGTCGTCATGGTCACTGCAGGATGACCAGCGGTCATGTTGGCAGTTTAGAGGGTTTACTTCAAGCTCAGGGAATGGGTGGTGGCAGGCGAACAACTTAGCAGGAAACTGAGATAAAGAGAAGTGCAAACGTAGTTCTAGCCCCTAATAGGTTAATAACGACTAGTATTGATTTTCCTACAAAATGCACGCGTCAGCATTCCTCCGGGCTGGACTACTAGTGGCCACCCGACGTACAAGGTTTACTGTCGACGTGTTTGCTCAAGGTTTGTCCCTAGATTGCTTGGCTAGGGAAAAGTATACTCATTCAAGTTATCCCGCGATCGGATGCGGCAAGCGTACAAAGCAAGGTCTTCAGACGGATCAAGTGATCAGAAGGACAAGGTGATCAAGTGGTCAGAAGAACAAGGGGGGTCGAGTATCCACATTTTGGCAAGGCGACCTCAAAGGAAGGTCAGGCGACTCTAGGAGAGTGCCACCAGTAACCGTTGGTCGTGTGAACCACGACCAACGGTGTGTGTCCCACGACTTGAAGCTCCGCTGTGTATCCCATCTCAGCAAGACGGAGGTCCATAAAATTCAGCCTATGAGATACACTGGATACGCTCAGGGAGTTTAAACTGTATTCATTGGTGCCATAATAGCTGTCTTAAATGTAACTTAGAATGTTACGCTGCATCCAAATTCGCCTCGAAGGAGAAGGGGTGCACCGGTATACTTCCGTTTAAACTACGCTAGTTTGGAAACCCTCTTAAATTATGGTAACCAGCACTATAAATGGTAAGAAATCAAGCTTAATGGCAAAAAACGAGAGTTCTCAGCTCCTTGGAAACATCCTGATAACTTGTTCGTGTCCTGGAAGGATTGCAAGATGCGAGAAAGCACGCGAGATGCCTGGTTAGGCAAAATAAACATTTGGGATAGGTCATTTCGTATTAGACCTCATGTACAAAAAGCTTTGTTTACAGACGTGCTACACGTGATAGCCCACCATTTGGCCCGACCGCCTATTTTCGAAATGTTAAACCAACTTGATGAAGCTCGATTCGGAGCATGGCTGGTTTCATGGCCATTCTTACTTCTTGAAACCACATAATCAACTACAATCTCTCTCTTTAATACCAAATGTCTTAATGCTCAGTACCAGTGAAAGAGTCTAACGCTCATCTTCCGTTATTGGAACATACCGATCAGAAATAGTCGGTGCCAAAGTGATCGTGTACTTTTCTAAAAAGTGTGGATTCAAACAGCATAAAGCATTAGGAACTGCACGAAAAACGCCTAGACATTGTGCAAGGGTCATACTATCTTGTTCGTGACTGGATAAAGATCGTAATTTCTCGAGTGCTAGTCGTCAGGCCCTTGAGAGGTTGATCTCTGTTTCCATCCATACGGAGGAGCAGTCTTTAATGGACTCAGGCGTAGATTAAATCCCAGTGCTAACAAGTTTAGGAGAGATAAACTTACTTCTGTGCCAAATGAAGATTTTAAGACTCGTCGCAATTTTTTAGTGAATTAAACTAAACGGGTTAACATTAGTAGGGTCTCAAATCTTTACATGTTTAATAAAACTTATTGTTGGCTGTCAAAAAAAGGTCGCAAGCTTTTACTTATTTTAGAGCCTAACGAGTCTTAGGCGTCGCGTAGCACTGCTCCTCACTAGTGCTTGCCTTAATGCAAGTTCTTGACTCTCACGAGCATATACGCGTTAGCAAAGACATGAGTCTTTAAACGATCAATATGTAAGCCAACTGTATTTACCGATTTCTGCGAGCTCGAAGGGTCAAGCTATTAGTAAGTGTGCGCGAGTAAAATGCAGGATAATTTAAATTGTACATACCCGTGTGATCTGTCTATCTGTAAAAATAGTGGCTGGGTTCACCTTGCACGTACTAATTTTGATGTAGCCTTTCCCCCCCCCTCATAGGTATATGGAATGTCCGAAGTCACCCTTTGGCTAAATCACTATGATAACGCACGCACGTAATGGACTAAACATCGATTAAAGGTAAACGTGATCGCTTAGAAAAACTCTGGAAGCTAATGAGAAAAGGCTGATTGCGTTGCTGAAGTATGCTTTAGGGTCATTATACATTGTGCAGCGGAGCTACTTAGCGCTCCTTAGCAGAAGAAGTCTTTGACTTGAAGAGTGTCTTAGTTATAATAAACTAACAACGACGTACAGCCGTACAGTCGTTCAAGCGTGCAAGCTTAATAATCCCTGCTCCAAAGGGTCTACGATTCACAGAATCACACACTAATTATTCACCACTTTTTAAGCTAGAGTAAGCGCCTTTACAACGTCAATGCTCTTGACAACATACTACTCCTTTACAAGGCACTAGTTTCCGACGATTCATAAGGGGGACTGAACTTTATTGATTCTATAACTACGGTGATAAATTCATTAAACGTCGTCTGACTTCTACACAAAAGGATTTATCCATTAAGCCTGATGGTGTAAAACACCTGCGGGACTGACTCTTATTACTATCCTTTGACAGAAGTCTTATTCCTTGTCCCTAACCAATAAGTTGCGGCACTACCACAAGTACATGGTATACCACTGATGTTCCACTAAGATCCACCGATTTTTACTTGATGTGGACACACAACATAACCGGTCTAATAACTGCCGTGTAACCCCGTTACGCATTGACAATATCATACTTATTCCTCAGTGTCTACTGTTGATAAGTGTTTTGAATCGAAATTTCATTCCTGGGACTACATTACATTAACCAAAGGACGAGCTCCAGAGCTTGTTCCCCTATCTTGACCTTCATTATGTAAAATTAAAGCTCAACCTATTTTTAGCTAGTTTAGGAATCCTGATGCAGGTTGTTCTAATGTTACCACGCCAGACAAACGACGTCCTCATGTCGACTACAGGAGTGATTTTAACTTAACTTTTTTACGCACAAATCAGCGACTTGTAACGGGGTAGCCCGTTACATGATATTGACACCAAACGGTGTCAATAGGGATATTGTCTAGCATGACAATATCCTACTAACATTATCCGAGATAGATAGTATTGAAGGAACATTATCCTTCAGTACAATGTTCATGCGCTGCTCAAAGATTGGTTGATAAAAGACCTATCAACCATAGATTACCACCAATCCCTTCTAGACGTGCGCAATGAGAGGTAAGCAGGTTGTCGTCAGTGTAAATTAATTTAGTTAGAAAAGATCTAAAGTTGTATTGATGGCTTAGCTTTACGAAACACAATTCTCTTTTTACCCTTTTACTTAACATAGTTGTTAAGTAGATTAGCTTCCTCTGCACGTACTAGTGTACGTGAAGTTTTGTGGCACCACTACAAAGGGTGCCCCGTTATACCTGGTAGCACTTCGTAGTCCGTCCAACGACTACTTAGTGTTCGTCTAACATGAACACGTTGGACGTGGAAGACGACAGATCACATGTCACATGTGAATGCTACTCCCGTCTGAGTGACTCAGAATGGGAGGTAGTCGGCCGCATGAGAGTGCTTGTGGGCGAACCCGCCATCAGTGGCATGTTGGAGTCTCTAAACAGAGACCATCAAATACTGCTATCAACAAGTTCCTACAAGGGGAGCTTGACGTCGAATGACATAAGATAGCCTTGCTACAACAGCAAGGCTCTCATCTGCCTATGGGCGGGCCGACGCACATGCGTCGACCTAAAACCTTGAAGATTGATATCTCAAGGTACAAGGGAACCGATAAAGATTACCTTTTGAGATGGCTCGTCGAGTTAGACGACGCCATCAGGGCCCATCACATCGAGGGTGACGAGATGCAAGTCACTTTTGCCCTGTCGAATTCGACAGGAAGAGTAAAGACTTGGGCCTTAGGGCTCAGGCTTCACGACCCAAACGTGTTTGAGTCGTCGAGGATCTTGAAGTCTCGGCTCAAAGCCACATTTGAGCCGCCAAGAGCCGAGTACAGAGCACGCTATGCACTCTAGAGGCTAAAGCAAGGTAAGTGTGACGTGCACGCTTATGCACAACACCTGAGCTACATTGCAAGTAGCGTTACGGAGAACCCTGTTGATGAGCATACGCTCATTAACGTGTTCATCTACGGCCTTGTAGATGGGCCGGTGAAGACCTACTATTCCACTAGGATTTCCATACGCTGGAATGGGCGATAGCGCAGCGGAACAAGAAGACATTAGCCTAAGACAGTCTCAGGCTAACTTGTCAAACTATCTTCCGACGAGACGACAGTAAACAGGAGGTCCCGAACCAATGTATCTCTGTTACATCGAGAGCGAGAACTCTCTCTCTGAGTCACAAGCGAACGGCAAGATGCCATCGCTGTCAGAAGATTGGACACTACGCTCATGAGTGTAGTGTCCCAAGCACCGCAACACGTCCAAAGACAGGACGTGATGACCACCGTTGGCCAAGGAAAGGTCCGAGGCGTGGGTCCGACCATGTCGCGAAGCCGCGACAGCAAGTCGGACCGTCAGAAAAATTGTCAGGGTCAGTAGGGGCGGAGCACCCTGCTGATCAAGCAACGTCAAGAGAATTT